TTAACATCCTCCCACCATCCATTATTAAAAACAAAATAAACCTTCTGTTTTCATGAAAAACATTGAGTAGTATTTTAAAATACTTTACTGAAATCAAATCCAATGAATAGAAATTTACAACAAGAAAATTAATTTGATCAAAAAATTTCTAAATATGAACAATTAGCCAATTAATTAAACATCATAAAAAATTTTTGCAGCAAAAAACTTATAAAATTTTCACTCGTCATAGAAAACAATATACAAAAACCGAAAAATTCTAATGTAACAAACAAAAATTAATTAGAATATTTAAAAATGAAACATTATCAAAACCAATAATGGAATTTTGTTCATTAAAACAAAAAATGTTTTCTTATAATTTTTGACAATCAAAATAAAAAAACTGGCTAAAGAAATAAAAAAATGATTGTAAAAACATTCAACCACAAACATATAAAAACATTTTGTTCAATTCAGAACTGTTAAAACATCAACAATATGGAATTAAAAATAAAAATAATGTCGTGAAAACATATCTTTAGAACAAAATATCTCTCATGCTATTTTATCTACAGCGATCTATAAGATTTACAGCGAAACTTTCAAATTTTCTTCGATAATTTTGCTAAGAAGTATATACGTAAATTAAATATGAGAACGTCCAGTCCCGAATTAACTTGAAGATGTTACATAGCGTTACAAAAAATGAGGTCCTTTCTGCCTCAAAATTTTTTTTTTTTTGATTTTTGGAATGTTTTTTAAGACTTCGAATTTTTTCAAAAATTTTTGCCCGCGCAAAAAAAATTTATCGCGATTTTAATTAGCCTTTGATAAAGCTCGATCAAGGTTTAATTGTTTTTTAATGGGATTTTCTTATCAAATTTCTTAACAAATTCAAACAATATTTGAATTAAATTTGAACATAAAATTCGAATATAGGTTCTATTATAGAACGATCGTAAACGTTCCAGAAACGTTGAAAATAGTTCGTGTGACAGAACGTGAACAGGAGACGTTCAGAAATAAAATCGGGACCAGGAAGTGTTAATATAAAGCGGCATGCAAGATTTACAGGCGGTTTTTTGCGCTTTTGCGGGAAATTGAACATATTTTTATGCTTATGTAAAAATTCTCTGGAAACTTCTGGAAACGGGAGATCTAATTCTTGCATTCTGTAAAAACGAGTAAGATTGGCTATAATGAAATTATCTTAATTTTCACTATCGTTACTTTTTGCCCACAAACAAAAACCCAGCGAAGCGGGTCCTTGAAGCTAGTATATATATATATGTATGAATAACTTACTATAAACAATGGATTTAAATATGTGTCCTTTACGTTTAGTGTAAAAAAGTGTAAATTCTGTTATACCTATTATATAAAATAATTATATTAATTAAAAATAATATATGTATATACGAATAACTGTTTCATNAAATCACATGATAAACTTACATAAAACTAATTTTTTTAAATAGAATACAAACACATTATATTAATTAATTGGAAAAATTTTCAAGTTTACCAATAGACAAGAATAGTATTCGACGTTTCAGAAAATATATTAAACAGAATTTATAAGTAAAGGTCCGACTTAAGTTAGGACTTCATTTTCGAATTTTCTGATAATTTAGATTGCAAGTTAAAATGGAAAAATTTCATATTTACTACTACATTCGTCGAAAAACATATTAGACACACAAAATGGGATATAATTTTGGAACATCAAGTATTAGATGATAAATTCATAGATGATTTTTTTAAATATTTTAATTGGATCTGCAGCGAAATTTTTAAATTCTCTTCGATAATTTTGCTGAGAAGTATATACGTAAATTAAATATGAGAAGCGTTTTAAAATAGCAATGATTAATAAACAACACTGTAGGAGAAATAAAAGATTATTTATATTAAGGTTTAGTGTTTTGTTGTCAAAAACTAAACAAAGATTATATTCATGATTTATAACATCACTTTAATTAATGTAATGTTTCAAAATACCAAAAACTAGATCACAAATACATTCCTAATAACTCACCTAATTTATATACTTCAAGTTGTTTGTAACGTGGTCGATGATACTGTGAGCCCGTGGAATTTTACGGGGCTCTTAAAATCCAAAAATTAATGTCAAATGTAAAAATTGTAAATGTCTTCGTTAGAAAAAAACGAAGAAATTGAAATTTAATCAGAAATCATTGATTGTAACAACACGTTGATGGGAAAGTTGACACTTAGTTGCTAAAACCTGCAAGTTATCGTCAACAAGGGATCATTACGTGACGCTCTTCCTACGACAATGGTATAAATGAATGAAACACGGAAAAATCAGGGCGATCACTCGGTAGTTATACTTGGTAGATGTGCCATATTTGTCTCCACCGAATTTGGACAGACAAAAGACCCTAGAAACTTCCACATAGTACGTAATCGCTCATTTTGAGGTAATTATTTTGAATCTGCGAACTCTCTCTCTCTCTCTCTCTCTCTCTCTCTCTATGCTCATAGGACTAGTCGTTATGGTTAACCTTTAGAGAAAGGATAAACTGTATAATCGCCCCTAAGCGTATTTATATTATCCGCATTTATTCTTAGATATATGCAACCTATTATAACCTTTTATATTTACTAGTTAGTTATATAATAAATGCTTTGTTTATTAGTTAAACTTGTCCTGTCATTAAAAGGCATTTGCCGACTTACCAACGACCTCCTCCTCACTCACTTCTTAGCCCTCCTAGCCATCCGACAAACCGAGAACGAGTTTTACCAGTCCGTGCAGTGTAAGTAGTCATTAGGGAACAGCTCTGTGGCCCTCTGCTTATCTCACAATACGATAGAAAAATTAAATAAATTTGAAGAAGAAAAAGAGGAAAATTAAATAACTTTTATACTTAAATTAAACAGTATAATCGAATCAAGTTAAATAATTTCGATACAATTTAATTTATATCGTAATTTAACATGAAATTTTACTTTATCAAGAATTTATTGCGTGCAGAAAATTCTATATGCCTGAATAATTGTGTTGTGTTTATTTCCTAAATATAAATTATATTGTACTAATATTCATTCTTCAAATAAAATACGTATTGTAAATGTAATACCTGATGCCATGATCCTAATCTCTATTAGTATAAAACAATTTTAATACTTACGTAGATATTCCAGGAATCGTGAGTGAAAAACACACACATAAACATATTGTGATACAGAAACGATCACTCCCGAACACATTATGAAAATGAAGATTAAAATCGAACATTATCTGTACAGTTTTCAAAGAATGAAGTAGATATATTTTCTATGTCATATTATATTTTTAATACACATCGCTGTTATTTACATTTACCATGCTCATTTCGTGTAAAAGAATATGAAGTTTACTTTTAAAATGATTTCCTTTATTTTCAGTAATATGAGAACATTCCATGAGTTTCTCTTCATACCATTAGTAAAGTAAACAGGAATATATAGCCATTACATTATAATTTATTGTAGAAATATTCGCAATATTTTGATCGATAAATACTAAAATAAAATGCCAGGTGATTCTTTGTTCAATTATTACTTGGAAAGAATATAATTTCTGATATCTAAATTATTTAGCCAAGCATTTATATCTTATTCATAAAATTTTTAAATAAATAGGCTCCTGTTAGAAAATAAAGTTTATGTTTCATGTAGGATATTATTAAAATTTTTCTCTGAGTCGCTGTAATATTCTTCGATATAGATGTTTGCGATGTTAAGCACAAGAATATTTTAATTTAAACTTTTAATATCAGTTTTAAATGTAAGGAAAACGGAAGTTAAACGTACGCATTAAAATTAATTATTTTATGTATTGTACTGTATATTTATTATAAAATATTTTATTTTTGCACAGTTTTAACAGCTAACTTACATGCAAAGTGCAAAAGATATTATTATTTCGAATTTTAAATATATGTGCTTGTGTGTTCGTTAGTGTTTATTTTCCACACTACTTCAGGACTTAATAAATCCAATAATTCGATAATTTATATATATGAAGCATTTGTGACCGCAGAGTCCGCACCTATTGGATGCCTTTTCAAGATTGACACCACCGTGTCTTGCGGACACAGAAATTTCGATTGCCGTTACGTTAGTTTTCGCGCAAGTGGTCGCGTCATAGGGTTTCCGACTCGGAGTAGATACAGAAGAAGACAACTGGAAGAAGTACAGTCCACAAAGTTATCATTTAACAAAATACCCGTATCATTTAACAAAATACCCGTTTATTAATCGATACTATATATTTACAAGCTATATACAGATGCTTAATGAATGCTAATAATATGACATATAGGGGTGAAACTTATCGTTATACAGATTCTTTGTAGATGCTAATAATCTATACTAATGTTATAAAGAGGTAATATTTGTAAGTTTGTATGTAGCGGGTAATATCCGAAACTACTCGTCCGATTAAAAAATTCTTTCACCAATATTCAGAATGGAACTTTGGGGTGTATTATTCTGTTAAACATTCATATAAAATAAAAGATATCATACAGGGTTAAGGCTTTTATGTCCAACAGATGGCGCTACGAGTACTAAGCTCTAACTTTGCTTTTCTGTAAAACATGATTTTTTGTGAGGATGAACTAAACCAGATTTTCTTCTATCTACCTAGATAAATAAAAATGTAATGTTTGTTTATTCATACCAATTCCTTTAAAATTTTGACACAATGCTGCACTCGAATACGCACGTGTTTTTATATAATATAGGGGAGGGTGGGGATGAAAGGGACAAAATTCATATTTTTATTTTTCACTGGAAAAGTTTACTTCTAATCAGTTTTATTTTTAGTGCAAAAGATTCATTAAACCTTTACTTTGTTCTGACCATATTGTGAATTCATCCTATTATATTGGTAGTTGAACATGTTCATATTTTTAAAGGTCTCTCCAAGTGTCCCTTTCATTACCATGTCTGGGTTGAAAGGGACACACTCGGGGATGAAAGGGACTACCTGCGTTTTAATGTAAAACTTGGAATTAGTTATCTCAATGTTTTCAAATTTTGTTGTAACTGATAAGTGATAAGCTAGAGACTAAAATTTTTAAAAATTACACTTTTAATAATATGAATTATGTGACATCACATTTATTTTAAACAGTTAAAGATTACCAATACTTTTAAAACAATTAAAGATTATCAATATTTTTAAAACAATTAAAGAATATCAAATATTTTCAAACAAAGAACAATAACTAAAGAATATCACAATTAGTAGGCTCTCACATAATTAAACTGTCTTTCTTTGGTCAATAGAATGTTTTTCGCAATCTATCCCAGCCGATATGAGGTGAAATCAATGGAAAATATAAACTGTTTGCTTGCTCTTGCTGTTCCTCCTGCTTGGGATGGATGGGGTAGCTTTAAAACTATATCTTCCATGGTGACATCACTGATATCATCCTCTTCAGGAAATATGAACTTGTAACATCCTAATATTTTTTTCATAAACTTGACTTTCAAGTCTTCATCACTCAGTTTCTTTAAAACTTTTCCCACGAAGTAAACAACAGAAGTTTTTTTTGCAAATCTGACTAAAATGAAATCATTGGGCTGAATATGTTTGACACTGTTTTCAATATCAGATCCCTCACTCGATGTTGCATCAGACTTTGAGGAAGAGCTGCTTTGAGATCCTTCATCTTCACTTTCAGTTTCTTCTGGAATATGTTGCAACAGCTGCTTTTTAGATTTTGTCCTCCTTTCTTTGGACTCGTTCTTTCGCTTCTTCGCCTCTTTTTCCTGGAATGCTTGCTGGATTTTATCTTTTTCAGGAGTATCAGTAAGAATCCTTGTTGAGTCTCTTTTGTTAGATTTCGCTGTTTTCCGTGCAGAAGCTTTTGGGAACGGTTTGACAAGCTGAGGTGAAAGAACGCTTGTTCCACTTGTAGACGCTTGAGGACAAACAGGAAGTGTCTTGGGCATAGAAGATGTAGTAGGCACATCAGAAGTGGAAGCGGATGCCATTGGTGTTACGGCTGTGGGTGGATTTTCTGGATCAGGGCAATTAGTAACTTCAGCTTGCAGGAAGTCGTCATCTGTGAAAACTACACTATTGAACAGGTATATTCCAGTCTTTGCAAAACCTGATAAATTGTTTTTTCGTGTAAGAGATGCATCAAATGTCTCGCTAACAAGAGCAGGGACATCATAAATCGTCATAGGTTTGCCGGGATGATTGATCATCCAGTTGTTTGCAGCAACATTGTGTCTGCTTTTCAATGGTCCATAGACGGCAACATCCAGTGGCTGCAGTCGCTGGCTGGTGTGTGGAGGTACAGTTAGCAGCACTATTCCGTTTTCTTTGGCGAATTTTATTGATTCAATAAAAATGTGGCTGTCATGATTGTCCAAAATTAGGAGTACTGTATGGCTATTGCTTGTAGATGTCCCAGCAAAGTTTGAGAAATGTTGCAAACACTTTAAAAAATTTTCAGCTGTCATCCAGCCACTCTGATGGGCTAGTCCAAGACTTTGAGCAGGCGCTCCTGCCAGCATAAAATCCTTGAAATTAACTCTTGGGAATACAAATGCAGGGGGCAATGCATTTCCCATCGCATTTATGAAACAAAGAACAGTAACTAACTGCCCCCTTTCACCAGAAGTCACTTGGGCTACTTGCTTTTCCCCTTTTCTAGAAATGACATTTGGGGGTTTGTGAACAGTAGTGAAACCTGTTTCATCACAATTATATATTCTGTCTGGAGTGAATTCATATCTCTTCATAACATCTTCTAGATTCTTGAAAAAGTTCCTGACATTTGTTTTATTGAAGCTTGTACTTCGGGCCAAA